GTCAAATTGAGTCGAGTTTAAAATTTATATAACTCGAATCAAATCAAATTAAAAGATTTTATAAAATAAATTTGACTCAACTCAATTCAAAAAAAAAGAGTCAAATAGAGTTGATCTTTAAACTCAACTTGACTCAACTTATTCAGAACTCTATCTTCAACAAATATTGGCATAAATTGTTCAAGTTTTTTCATTTCTTTTAAAAATATTTTACAATATTCTAATATATCCTCTCTTTCATGAATATCAAAATAGATTTCTTTTTTTTTAGATTATAGTATTAATCTAATTTTTTTGAGCTAAATATAAGCTGATTATATTGTAATTGAACTTTTTTACTTATAATTTCCATTTGTAGAAAAAGTACTGAATTAATAAATTCTTGATAATCTTTTGATATAGTTTTTCTATCATTTTATTAAATAAAAATAAGGTTATTATTAATTACATCTTCATCATTGATAAATAATTTTATTTTTTGATGACAACCTTATATTCTCTTACACAGAATCTCATTTTCAAGCCAAAAATCTGTCTATTTATGAATAAGTATTACTTGATAAAAACTTTTATCATAAACTTTTTCTAAAATACGCATACTTACTGATACTTATGCAACTTATATTTATTTAAATAAACAAAATATCTATGTTATAAATGCCTGCTGAAACTTTCTCAAAATAATTTCATTATATTCTTTTCTATATTTTTAATATAGTTTCAACAGTTTCAGTTTTTGTCGTATTAAATGGATTTTATTGTATCCCTTATTATAATTTTAATATAATTTCATTTAAGTTTTGACTGTTATTAAAAGGTTTCATTCCTCATCTATAATATATATATTATCAAGTATTATAAATAATTATATGCTAACAATTTTGTTTTATCACTTTGTAAAATTTCTTCGAGTTTTTCAAATCTTTCTATATAGTTTTTATCATTAAAATGAGGCTTATTATTATTATCTAAAATTTTTTTCAAATTAATATATAATATTGTCTCTAGTGAAAAGAATGGCAAACACATTTTTTGAAGGTATAAAAATTTTTATATTAATCGCAATTGATTTTTTTATTTTTTAAAGAGTAATACTAACTCATCATTTTTTATTATATAATTAATTTTTATATGACTTTCTCCTATATTAATGCATACTTGAACTCAGTTTAGTATGCTTTCAATGCATTGAAGTCATATACCATTATCAAGATTATCCTATTGCTGCTAGATTATAGTAAGAAAATTTTACTAAGATTTATTTATCTTTTGCTACTAAATCCTTGACCTTTCTCTTAACAATTCTCTTTAAAATAGTCTATACATTTTCAATAGGATTCAGATCTAGGCTATACAAAAGTTTAGGAAGAATCTGCCCTAAAAGATAATTATTTAAGTTATGCTGAATATTTCAAAAGGTGTAATATGATCATTTTTTTTATAAAAATAGAAATATAAATGAGGTTCACAAGCTTATCACGTACGGTACATTTACTGATTTTGAGTTCAATATTATTTTTTTCTTACTTTGCTTTAATTTTACCAGCTGTAGTAAAATAATTGTTCTATAAAAATTTTCAATTAGTGGCATTTTTTTAGGTTTTTTTTCAGATAGTCAGATAAGTATTTTATAGAAATATTGTCAAATTTACGCAGAATACTAGCATATCGCTCATATGAACTTCTAATTTTTGTGAAACTTCCTTCACATTACAGACATTTTGCTGCATAATTAACTTAATGAAGTTTCATTATATTTTAAGAGAAGATAATATCATTTCGCAAATAAAATTAAAAAATAACAAATAACAAATAATTTTTACAACTTACCTTTTAAAATTAGCATTCTATTATCTGATTTAGTAAAATTAACAATAGTTTAAAATCAGAAAAGCGGAAGTATTATAGCTAAATATAAATGCAGTATATCTACTATTATTTTTTTCACTGAGAACTATATATCATTAATATCAAATAAATTTACATCATTATTGATATTTACATTGCTACCTACATTAGTAAAATTATTATTAATATTCACATTTTTATCAGAATCATTTATATTTTCTTTCTTGTCACTTTCACCTTCATTTTTATTATCTATACTTTCTTCATCTTTTATTGTTGTAAAGTATTATGTAAGTAATTTAGTATCTTATATAGCTTTTGTATATATACCTGAAGGATTGTATTTGCAATATTTAATAGCTTATAACATCTCAAGCTGATATTTTAGTCTTTTTTTTTCTTTGTTTAAACTAATTCAAGCTTTCTAAGGTTACTTATAGTTTGTTTTAAAACTTTATTATATAGTTCAAAATCACTATCTGAATCACTTGAAAAATCTTTATCTTTAAAAAAGATAAACTTAGAATCAGAAGCTTTAGCTTTTGCAAGTTGTCTAGTATTAATATTTTAAATATGATTTTGTAATCTTTTTTTTGCTATTATTTTACTTTTCATTAAAGGCATGTGTAAAAAAAACTTTGAGCATAAATGCTGATCAATGAAATTATCAAAATAATTTAACAAATATTAAAATTATATAGTTATACAAATTTTCATATTCTTAATTTTATAATTTTTATATTAGAATTAGCATTACTTTAAGCTTACATAACTTACCAAATTTTTGTTTATATAAAAAGCTAGCCAATAAACATTAAGTTCTGATAGTATTTTCATTTTTATTAGATAAAATTTTTAGTTAAAGTTTTAAATTATACATTTTATTAATTATAATTACGCTAAATTTTTTGAATATAGGCTTTTTACACTGTATAATATTTTTGTTACTCTCTAGTACATTATTAGTAGAGTTTATCAAAAGATGTATAAATCATTAAAATTTATTAAAATAACTAGTTTGATATAATAAATAAATATTACTAATTAATCTAAAATTAACTAAGTTGAATTCAAATAAATATTGAAGTATTTAAATTAATGATGCTAGATAAAACTAAAATATTTAATTATATGATAAAACTAAAACTATTTAATTTTTAATAATTTAAATATTAAATACTAAAACTTTAAATTCTATAAATTTTTTATAGATTAGAACTTACAATTTTAATAATATTTTATTTACTATAAATTCTAAAAATTTAGAATTTTTATAAATAAAATACTATTATTATATTTTATTTACTATATAGAAAGTTTGCTAGGAAAATTAGATTTTGAGAAATTTTTTGACAAAATATTTTATTACATTTTAATTTTTGATATTATTAGATTAAATATAATAAATCTTAATTTTAGTTAAAAAATTCTTAAAATCTAATTTTCTTAGCAAATTTTCTATATAAATAATTATTATCTATAATATTAATTAGCAATATTTTTTGATTATATATTTAATTAATAATAAATAATAAAAGATTTAAGTTAAAATTAATAAATATTAAATAAT